AACAAAAACCATTAATAGGCATTTCACAAAAGAAGATTTCAAATTGGCCAGTAAATATAGGAAAAGTGATCAGCCACCTTAGTCTCAAGTAAATGCAAATTAAGGTAGCACTGAGATACCGTTGTTCATCCACCAGATTTGGGGGCGTAGAGGAGACAAAAACTAACAGTGATCCTTGTTGATGAGACTGTGGAGCAGCAGTCAGTCTCACACTCTGATACGTCGTAGCCGTATGAATAGGCATACTCACTTTGGAAATCAATTTGACATTGTATGATAAAATTAAACATACCCACATCTCTACTGCCTAAGATGCCTCTGAAAAATATATATCTCTAAATCTCTCCAGAAAGATACACTATCTCCAGCTTGACAAGGCTATTCAAACAGGACTCTGTAGGAATGCAGGAAGTCCACGGAGGATTATCTCCCACAAGTTGAGTGTGAGAGGATTGTTAGATATTCAGGGGCAAGTAGCCCAGAAGCAAATAATAATGTCTATCATTCACTAAGCATTTACCATGTCCCGGCACATGTTAAGTGACAGGGCTTGGAGGATAATTATTGTACACCCGCTTACATTCCCTTTGAATTTGGATCTAATTGGGAAGGAAAAGACAAGCATCAAAAAGTTTGTAATAGAGATAAAGTTAATTAGGGATTTCTACCAAGTAGGACTCCTATTAGGTTGTGCAACTGAACCCATCCCTTAGTCACAGGCAGGGCAGAGCGTCCACATACTGCCTGAAGAGGCAATTTAGCTCAGTCAGGGCAGAAGAGATGGGTGGGCAGACCATGTAGAAAGGAATAGCTTTGTAGGAGCTAGATGAGCCCGTTAAGTTTCTCCTCCTAAACTCATTCATCAGCCCCAAACCTGCAATGTTCCTCCAAATCTTCCCTTCCCGAGGTTGGAATGGACGTTCCGTCTCCCCTGTGAAAACAGAAAACATGGATGGTCCACATTCCCCCATCTCCAAGTGCATCCTATCCAGGGAGGGAGAGGTGACTATCCCCACTTTGCATACAGGGACTCAGAGGAGTCAAATGACAGCTAGCTGGTGACAGAGCAGGATTTAGACTCATTGGAATCCACAGCCCATATTTGAATGACTTACTATACTGCCTCATCATCTTGGGGGTGGGAGGGAGAGAGAGTGTGAAAGCACTAAGCTGGAGATTTAGGTTGCTGCAAGCCAGCCACATAAAATGATGGTAGAAGCCAAGAGAGAGGATGAGATCACTCAGGATGAGTGTGGAAGACAAGAAGACAAGGCCAAAGACAGAAACGCCCTTAGAATACCAGAGTTTAGGAGCAGAGAAGTGGACAGGGGTTGTCAAAAAACATTGAGAAAGCACACCCAGAGAAGTAAGAAAAGATTAGAAGGAATACTTTGGGAGGCTAAAATGGGAGGATCACGTAAGACCAGCCTGGGCAATATAGCAAGACCCCATCTGTATGAAAGTTAAAAAAAGAAATTAGCCAGGTGTAGTGACATGTACCTGCAGTCCCAGCTATTCAGAGGCTGAGGCAGGAGGATCACTTGAGCCCAGGAGGCTGAGGCTACAATGAACTGTAATGACGCCACTGTACTCTAGCCAGGGCAACAGAGACCCTGTCCAAAAACCAAAAAACAAACAACTCCCCCCTCAAGAAAACTAAACAAAGAAACTAAACTAAACACCAAAGCAAAGACCCTAAGGAGACTCAAGAGGATCACTGTTGAAGGCTACAGGGAGCTCTAGTAAGATTAAAACTAGAAAGAGGTCATCCTGGAAAGGGCAGTAGGGTAAGGTTGAGAACCCAGCTTGGAGTGCACTGTGATGATGAAGGAGGCTTAAGAAAACTGGCTTTGAACAGAAAGGGAGAGGAGGTGGATGCAGGAGCAGTGGGACAGACACTCTGGGTATCAGAGAATGTAAGCTTTGCCAAAATACTTTAAAAATAAAAACCAAGTGCTATTTCCAGTTATTTTTATCCAGACGAAATTTGAAAGAGAACCATTAGATTTTAGGTACCAAATCTAGAGTAGAAAGTGTTTCTTAGTGGGGGAAGATTGTGGATACCATAAACTGAAGCAAGAAAGTATAATTGGTGATAACAGCCCTAAGTTGCCTCTAGTTAGCAAAATCTAGTCAGATCTTCATACCGTGGGTTCCCAACCGACTGCGAATTGAAAATATTTAAAGGGCGGGGGCGGGGGAAGATCGTTGTGTCTGTACTGAACATGTACAGACTTTCTCTTGTCATTATTCCCTAAACAAACACTATAACAGCAATTTACATAATATTTACATTGTTTTAGGCACTATAAGTAATTTTAGTTACTATTCACCATTTACATCAGCTACTTTAGCATCCGTGGATTTTGCTATCCCCGGAAGGCCTGGATCCCATCCTCTGGGGAGGAACAATGCCAGCTTTATAAGCTTCTTCAAATGTTAATTATTTAGCATCTGCCCTCCATCTATCACCCCTATAAGACGAATATTATCTTTGTGTTCTAAAGAATAGGCACAGAGAGGGTAAGCAGCATGGCAGGGTTACACAGCTGTTGAACAGAGGAGTGTATGGGGGGGATTTGAACGACCACCCTCTGGTTGCAGAACCTGAGCAATCCTGCCGGAAATGAAGCCATCTCCGGACCTGGCACGCGACAAGGACTCTGCACATCGGGACTGCAGTACGTGCAGCGTCTGTGTGCAATCCGGTCTTCCAGAAGCCTGGACTTCTCAACTTGGCAGTGCTGCTGGAAGGGCATCCCGGGACTGGCGCTGAGGACGCCACCCCCGAGTCCTGCGGTGCTCGGAAGGGGCTCTGGCTCTGCGCCTCCGCCGCACGGGGGCGCTGCCGCCTTTGCCCGGCGCTGGCGCGCTGCTGGCGGTCCCCGCGGCAGGGCGTGCCACTTGCAAGATGTCCGTGAGCCGTGGCCAGCGGCCGACGCGGCCGGGGACCCGCCTCTCCTGGTTGCTGTGCTGCAGCGCCCTGCTGTCTCCGGCCGCCGGATATGTGATCGTGAGCTCCGTGTCCTGGGCTGTCACCAACGAGGTGGACGAGGAGCTGGACAGCGCTTCCACCGAGGAGGCGCTGCCCGCGCTGTTGGAGGACTCGGGCAGCATCTGGCAGCAGAGCTTCCCGGCCTCGGCTCACAAGGAGGACGCGCACCTGCGGCCCCGGGCGGGCGCCCCCCGCGCCAAGCAGCCCCATGCGCCGCCGGGGATGTTCTCCTACCGTCGGGAGAGCCGCCAGGCGGCCGGCGCCGCGTCCCCCGGCCCGAGGCTGCGCGCGAGCACCGCCCGCTCCCTGGCCCACGCCAGCGCCTGGGGCTGTCTGGCCACCGTGTCCGCCCACGAGAAGGTAAGCCACCTGGGCCGGGGGCGGGTTGCGGATGCGTGCCTCGGGGGTGGCCTGGCCATCAGGCGGCGCACCCAAGGCACGGGGAAATGCTTGGGACTGCTCAAGCACGGATCTAGGTCTCACAGTCGTGCCCAGTGGTCTGGATTGGCCGGACCACGCTGTAAATAATGGGACTGAATTGTGCTCGGTGAGCTCGGCAAAGTCGGGGGCGGGAGAGGGACATTGAAAACCAGGCTTCCTCCCAGGTAGGCTTGGGTACCGAATGCCTGTCCTGAGATAGCCAAAGAGAAGTACACATAACCAGAGCCCGGCTAGGGACCTGCACAAAGGCTGCCAGAGCCGCCTTTGGAATGACAGCGTGGGCGCGCCGTCTGGGCTAGCTGCACTCATCAATAGACCCGGTCACCTACTGACACGGAACCGAAAGGGCGATGCGGACAAAGACAGCACCAGGGCTTTGACGGAAGTCTACATTTAAGAAAATGGAACTCAAGATTTTTTCTGGAAAGGAAAAAAGATTTTTTTTTTCTGGAGTGTGTCAATGCGGGAATGAGCTATCAGCTGCACTTTTAATCGTTGCATTCACGAATCCTTTTCTCACCTGTTAGACCGGACTCCACCTGGAATGACGCGGATGCGTAGTGAGGCTGTAGCTTCTGTAAAAGCTGCACCTCCAGAAAACTTTTAGGGCTGTTAAGATAGATAAGATTGATAGGCAGTTAATTTAAACTCTTATTTACTTCCTGCAAAAAACAAATAATATTTTATAGAATTTATAGGACATTGGCCAGGGAGCTGGTTCTTACCCCAGCTCTGGGTCTCACTCGTTAGAAACTGGGCATGTTACTGGCTTCTCCACTTTGCTTTCCTCATCTATAAAATCGGGTGGTTGACTCCGCAGTTTTGAAGATATTTTTTTTCTTTGCCTAAAAATTATCTAAATGGCAACTGTATTCCAATTTTAGCAAAAATCTTAACCTCTTAAGTGCCAGCTTCAGATCCAGTTGGATAATGATTTCTCACCTGTATCACGCATTCCTGAGACAGGTCTTAAGAAGGCATGAAGTTTATGTATGAAGCTAATCTTGGTTAAAAACACGAATTTTTTTCAAGCAGTTAAAAGTGCCAGTGTATGTAAGATATTTTGGCTTTCAACATCCTTTTTTTGGCTTTGTTAGGCGTCCTCCTTTCTAATACATACTGACATTTAATCTAAACTCAATAAATTCAGAAAACATGCTACAGCTGCCGTGTACGCAAAGCGTGCCTCTGGGCAGCTCATGAAAAACTGAAAAATGGAATCCGCAAATAAAGTTATATTACCATTTTAGAGGACTCCTGAAAATTAAATTTTCTTAAAAGACTGAAGCCCTACATTTTATAATTATGTACACCATTGTCATACAACCTTTCAAAGACAAAGCCCCCTGGATTTGGAATGAAGTGACAGTGAGGTGCACCTGGGTGAGGGATAAGTCTCATGGAAGACTGGGACGCCTGACAAGCAGGGTTTGGTCACAGAAAAGTCCTACCCACCCTGCTGGATGATCCTGAACAATATTGGTATATCATGTTTCTTTGTCTTCCTTTATGCAAAAAGTAACAAATCCACGTCCCATAACTTGCTGAGTTATACATCTAATGAAATGTTATTGATTACAATACAAAATGCAACTAATGAATGAGAAAGTGTTGTCGCTGTAAAAGAAACAATAGTAGAATGTTCCTGGCGTCCAAAAACCAGGCAAGATGTTCCAGTTAAGACTTAAATTTTCCCTAAAGTTACCAAAACTTCAGGGAAATTAGTGAAGGCAGTGGGGCCCTAGGGACAGCTTCTGGGAAAGGCTTAGCACCATCTCCACCCCCATAAATTTCACTGCCCCTTTGAAAATAACATTAAATGCAATAAAGTGAAGGTATTTGCTATGGACAGGCAGCTTCAAGAGAATCCTTTAACCATCTCTTCCAAACAGAATTTCACTGCTGAGAATCTCCTATAAATTCTAGGACCATCACTGGGTGAATTGAGATTGGGGACCACTTTGCCTTAATTTACCACCTGTCAAAACTGCTGTGATGCCACAGTCCTTTAATAATCCCCAGTGCTATAGTTCCTGGGCAGAGACATAAACTAAGCTCCCAGCTCAAGTCAACCCAAACTCTGCATTAAAAAGGCCTTTTTTGGTGTTTGCTAGATCCAAGGACTGCCCTTTGGGAACTGCCTGCCCATCAGTGACGGCCCCCTCAACAACAGCACTGGGATTCCTTTCTTCTACATGACAGCCAAGGACCCTGTGGTGGCCGATCTGATGAAGAACCCAATGGCCTCACTGATGCTGCCAGAATCAGAAGGAGAGTTCTGCAGGTAGGCAGGGGTTTGGCCTCACCTGCACAGGTCCTGGAAGTTTTTGATAGAGAATTGGGAGGGAGGGAGGTGGTTTCCTCTCTGGGTCACATAGCTTCAAACAGGACCTGAGAGGCAAATCAGTGTGTTTGCCCTCGAAATCAGATAAATTGGAATTCCACCACTCACCAAGCAGTGTGATTTGAAACAAGTGACTTAACCTTTGTGAGCCTCAGTTTCCTTATCTGTACAATGGGAATATTAGTTTCTACCACAAACGGTTATTGTGAGTGTTGGGAATAGGTGCAAAGTGCCTTGTACAATACCGGGGTGGGCCTACATCAGCAGCTCTTGTGTTATGAAAAAGGGCAGAGGTGGGGGTGGGAGTGAGCGTTGGTGAAGGAAAGGCCAGGAGTTTGTCTCCCCAGCACATGCGGCACTGAGCCTATTTATTGTTTTGTCAATTTATTTTTATCCCCACCCACCCCCAACATATGTGCAGCAAACAGCCAGCATTCTCTAATACACTTTTTCAAAAACTCTCTAAATGAAAAGCCTTTTAAAGACACTGAAGCACAAATGGAACACTAATCCAGACGTTATTGTCTGGATTCAAATTGTAAAGCTTGAAATCATATCCTGCCAGGAAGATGTCCGCACTGAGCTGGTGTGGGGGCTGCCTGTGGGAGACCCACCCACCCCGAGGAGCAGCAAATGTACAGGGTGGCCAGGGGTGGGTCCCTTAGCCTCTGGGGCCTCAGTTCCTCCACCTATAAATGTAGTGATGCTTTAGAAATTCAGCGGCTGCATCACACCTCTGAAGTTCTATTATCCTTTAAAAACAGAATAACCAAACAATGTATTAGTTCTTACAGAGGCTAATCAAAGCAAAGATACGATGTAAAACCAGCCTGGATAAGCCTCTGCCAGTTTAAAATAACTCCAGTTATTTTAAATCAGCCGTGAGAGACTCAAGCTGGGGGGCACTTCAGTTGACCCTCTTCTCCCTTGGGTTATGGCAAGAAGCCAGGAAAAGAAATATTCTTTTTCATGGAACGTCCTCCCCGTTCTTGGTCAGCCAAGCCTGCTGTTACTGGAAGTAATTCCCAGGGTACCTTTCCAGACCTCCCAGGTAGTCCTAATTCAGGAGGCCTCCAAACAGTGACGCTGGAGCATGTGGACCCCAGAACCCAGAGTGCACGTGCTCTGGGGACAGGCAACAGAACGCAGAGCCACAAACAAGGCTGCCGCAGCACCCCAGCTACAGAAGGATCTGTCTACAGGCAGTGCCCAGGAAGATGTCAGCGGGAACTGGAGCTGGGAGCAGTGAGAAACGAAGTGTAGGGGCCTCTCAGGGCACGGGTGCAAGGTGACTTCCGTAAGCCCCCCAGGAAAACTGGGCTAAATGTGGAGGACAGGGGAGATGGGAGATGTTGGTTATAGGTGCAAACTTTCAGTAACAGGATGAACAAGTTCTGGGCACAGCATGAGTGGTGATGGATATGTTAATTAAATTGATTGCGATAATCATTACACAATGTGTATGTATACAAAGTCATACTGCTGTACACCTTGAAAATCTTCCATCTTTGACAATTAAATATTTTAACGCTTAAATTCAATCTGAAAAATAGAAGGGGAGATGGCTTTTATCACTTACATCCAGACCGGAACCTTCAAACATGTCTTGTCTAGTAGTTGCTATTTAAAGTCTGTTTTATTCAATGATTCCATTTACTCCTGAGGACTCTGGTGTCCTCACTTAATTAATGAGCTTAAATAAAGGTGGGGATCAATTTCCTAGCTCAGGCTAAGCAAATACAGAGTAAGTTTCCGATGTAAGAGGTTCCCTGGAAGTTAGCGTCCTTCTTTTCATCTTCTTCTTCCTCCACACCCATAAGCACGGACAGATGCCTCTCAATTAAGCGAATTTATGCTCCGACCACAGACCTAGTTGTATGAAAATTCAATAAATGTTGACTGACAAAGAAAGGCCAAGAAATGTATCTTTCATTGCAACATCTTCCCTTATGGAGCATGCAGGTGACACCGTGGATTCAAGATTGCATCTTCTTAGTGAGTCAGGGCAGCAAGCCCTTGGGACTAAGGAACACTTTTTGGTTGAATGATATTCTGCTTGATCATATTGGATCAATTTTCATTTTGAAGATCAGGATATAAATGAAACCCAAAAGGCTTATCAGATGCCTTTCCTGAAATGAAAAAAGTTCAGTCAATACTTTGGAAAAATGTTGGTTCCTAGGTAGACTGATTTGACTACAAAGAAAGACCAATCTGACTCTGGGAGGACAAGGCTGGTGGATTTCCTGACTCACAGGTTGGAGACCAGCCTGAGCAAGAGTGAGACCTCGTCTCTAAAAATAGACAGGTATTATGGTGGGCACCTGTAGTCTCAGCTACTCGGAGGCTGAGGCAAGAGAATTGCTTAAGCCCAAGAGTTTGAGGTTGCTTTGAGCTATGATGCCACAGCACTCTACAGAGGACAACAAAGTGAGACTCTATCTCAAAAAAAAAAGACAGACAGGTCTGGAAGCACCTCTTCCTCTTCCTCAAAAGGCTTTTAGTGAAAGATTGTCCTAGCTGTTGTCACATCGAAACCCCTTTGAGTCCCTCAGGTTGAAGGCATCCCTGCCTAACAATGAAAGCAGCTCTTATTCAGAGCTCTTTGGCTGACAGAGCCTGGTGGTTTAGCACCAGAGCAGATGCTAAGATTATAGTTTATAAAGGAATCTAGTTTCCCAGGGGGAGGTGCCAAACCATGAAGGGATTAAAGCCCAGTGGGTGTATAGAACGGAAGCCTATCAGCAACGACAATCTCTCAGCATGACATGCTTGTATGGGTCAGCACTGAATAACACACAGAAAGATACTGCTCACATTAGAGTGATTCAGACAACTGGCTCGGACATAGATGTAATTCCTGCACTGTCCTGGTAGGCGCCCCTGCATGTCCCTGCATAATATAAGCCTATTAACAGCAGCAGGCTCTCCCTCAATGAAATAAGGTAACCGAGGGAGAGTGTTGGTGAGTGGGTTGGTTTGCCTGTGCATCATAAATTAGCATGCACTGAGTCTAATCATTCCTTCTATGTGAAAAGGAAAAAGAGATTCTGGAAATGCAAATGTCCTGTAGCCACTCCTCCCCCAGCCTGCTTCCTTTTAACTACTCCTGTGGGAAGAAAATGTTGAATGATAGATGAAAACTTCAGCCCAGCCTAATTGCAAATGCAGGCTCTGGGATTTATTTCCCTAGAACTGTGTTTGGAAGACATTCAATCACTTTCTGGGGGAGCTCGATCAAGTAAACGCACAGAATAACAGTGTGCTGGCAGCAGCTTGTTTGCTAATAGCCAAGGTGTCTGGAGTCTGTGTCCACCTGAGACGTGATGTGCATCTCAAAGCACAGGGTCCAGCCCTAATCGGATACAGAGCCGGAATCCAATTTCTCTTCACTGAATCTTGTTCATTCCCCTTGAAGGCGACATATAAATCTTCTAAATGAATTGCTGTCTGTTCAGATTCATGTTACCTCTTCTCCACCTTTGCCCGCATGTTCCTGTATTCCTGGACCTAACAGGAATCGCTTTTTAAAAACCTATCAAAGAAAGAGTCAAAGAACTCTGCAAAGAGAAAGCGTGATGAACAGGTGTTTAAATATTCTCTTCTTTCTTCCACTTGTTTCTGAGTTCGTGTCTCACAGCAACCTGTAGCCACTTCTCTCTGCCTAATTTTATTTCAGCCCCCTGGGGTGTCATCCACACGGTCCTGTCCGTGTCGTGTATCCACTGATGAGTCAGTCCAGTTCTTCTATCATTACACTACCCTTTTCCTCCATTGTCTGGTGACCTCTCCCCATCCAGTTTACAGATGTTTCACTTACCTGTTTGACAAGGGCTCATCTTAGGCAGAAATGAGATGAAGAAGGGATGAGGATGTGACACCCATAAATATACAGCCTCAGAAAAACTGTTTAGAGCTATTAAGACAAATGAAAGGGATTTACTGCAGGGCCCCAGCCCCTGGCAATCTTTTGTTGTTGTTGTTAAACAGGCCCAGGCCGGGTTTGAACTCGCCACCCCTGGTTAGGCCAGCGCTCTAACCACTGACCTCCAGGCGCCTCACCCCTGGCAATCGTTAACAAAGACTTTCTGTCTCTATGGTTTTGTCAATTATGGATATTTCATATAAGTGGTATTACATACTATGTGGCTTTCTGCAACTGACTTCTTTCACTTAGCATAATGTTTTCAAGGTTCATCATTCTGTAGGAGGCATTGATGATTCCTTCCTTTTTATGGCTGAAAAATATTTCATGGTTTGAATATACCACATTTTAACTGTTTATTTATATTTACCCATTCATCACCATTAATGAATGTTTGTTTCTGTGTTTTGCCTATCATGAATAATAATGCTGTTATGAGTGTTCATGCACAAGTTTTTCTGATAGATACTTTGATTTGTCGTGTGTGTGTGTGTGTGTGTGTGTGTGTGTATATATATACCTGGGAATGGAAATGCTGGGTCATATGGTGACTCTGTCTTTCACTTTTGGAGGAGCTGCCTGACTGTTTTTCTGAGTGCCTGCACCATTTCATGTTCTCATTACCAAGGGATGAAGGTTCTGATTTCTCTACGTCCTCCCCAACACTTGTTATTGTTGTCTTTTTGAGTGTAGCTGTCCTAGTGGATGTGAAGTGATACCTCATGGTGGTTTTATCTATTTTAAATTTGGTTGTTTATCTTTTTATTGTTGAGGTATAAGAGTTCTTTACATATTCTAAGTATCACCAGTTTCAGATATATGATTTGTAAATATTTTCCTTATATATTTTATCATATTTTCTCTCGTCTTGGAAGAAGCAGAATAACTGCTAAGAATTGGCATTCCCATTGTATATTTTCTCGGTCAATGTCTTTTTGTTTCTATAGGCTGAGTTTCCTCATCAGATAAGCACATAATTAAAGTAACATTCCTGAGATAATAAATACCTGTACATGTACCTAAATTATCTAGTGTGTAGAAATGGTGAGAAAATGTCTAAATAAGACAAAAGGGCTCGGCGCCTATAGCTCAACCGGCTAAGGCGCCAGCCACGTACACCTAAGGTAGCAGGTTCAAATCCCCAGCCCGGACCCGCCAAAACAACAATGACGGCTGCAACCAAAAAAAAAAAAATAGCCGGGTGTTGTGGCGGGCGCCTGTGGTCCCAGCTACTTGGGAGGCAGAGGCAGGAGACTTGCTTGAGCCCAGGAGTTGGAGGTTGCTGTGAGCTGTAATGCCACGGCACTCTACCCAGGGGGACAGCTTGAGGCTCTGTCTCAAAAAAAAAAAAAAAAAAAAAGACAAAAGATTTTCATGAACTGAATTATAAAGGAATTTGGGAGGGCAAGCTCTTACTCCAAAAATGTAAATCCCAGGCAGGCCCTAAATGCAATTAAAAATAAATTAATCATACTGTGTACAAAGCAACATATTAAATATTAAGATGGAAACAAGACATTTTCCCTTCAAATGATATTTATTAAGTACTTACTATATGCCAGGCATGCATAGATGAGACTTAAAGACACAGGCCGGTTGTGGTGGCTCGCACCTATAATCCTAGCACTCTGGGAGTCCGAGGCGGGTAGATTGCCTGAGCTCAGGAGTTAGAGACCAGCCTGAGCTAGAGTGAGCCCTCCTGTCTCTAAAAATAGCTGAGCATTGTGGCGGACACCTGTAGTCCCAGCTACTGGGGAGGCTGAGACAAAAGGATCATTTGAGCCCAAGAGTTGGAGGTTGCTTTGAGCTATGACACCACAGCACTCTACCAAGGACAACAAAGTGAGACATTGCCTCAAAAAAAAAAAAGACTTACAGACACAGGTTCTTGCCTGCTTCCCATCTGACACTAGTCATTTGACTCAAGATAGCAAGATCTAACACATGACTGCATGTAAAATGCCCTCCCCACAACAGGGAAGATGAGTAGGATTCCACAGGCTGCGATTTCCAACACCTTGGTGTCTTTTCCTCCCCTCTGTGTATCTGTCCATCTATCTGCCCATCATCCCCTGCTCATCCAACTCAACCTGGCCTGTCCAAAAATAAGACATTAAACTCCTTGATGCTGCTTTCTTTACCTCTTTCTTCTCATCAGGCTACATTTAAAGTTCCAGTGAAGGCTGATGTCTTTGCTGAGATTTCATTCTCCTTCTGACTTTCTTTCACTGGTGAGAATACCTGTGACTCAGCCTCCTGGGACCACACTGTCCAAAGACCCTTTCTGAAAATCCCACCCCTACCCCACAACTCCCTGGTCTGTGGGACAGCCTTGCTGTTGTGGGCTTGCCCCCCTGCTTCCTCTCTGCTCTTTTATCCTCAGGTCTCTGCAGTGAGAGCAGCCCAGCTGCTGGCAAAAGCGACCCTCAGAGCAGCAAAGCCTTCCCTGCAAAATAGGCTGAGACTCCAGCATGCTTAGAAGTATTTATGGCATGGAAGGGCCCTGGCAATCCGCTCCTGCCTTCCTCTTACAAATTTAAAATTGCAAGGCAGAAAAATGGATAGAACAGAACTTAGTCCCTATAACCACCCCCTGCCCCTGCTGCCCAGTCTCTATAAAAGGTGATCATCCTGGCTCAGCCTCCTGTTTCCTAGGGCTTCTGCAGACTCTAGCTACTTTCCTGCTTATAAAGAATCCCACATTCAAATGGCAGGCAGTTTTCCTTTTTTAATTCATTGTTTGCAGTACTTGTCTAAGCAAGGTAAACAGTAAGCTCTTGGAAAGGACACCTGAATATGCAATGCAGGAACAGTGACCTTTGACCACGCAGGTGTTACATATTAGACGAGTGGGAGAACCCCTCCATCCATTGCAATGTAGAATAAGGAAAAAGGCAGAGCACACGCTAAGGGGTCCTTTTATGTACATAGGCCTCTACAGGAGTCATCCGGGCTGAGGCAAGGGACGCCAGGGGTGTATCTAAGAAGCACAGGTAGCCAGGGCGGAGCAGCAAGAGACCTGCCTGCCCAGGACAAGTCCTAGCAGTGTCGGTGGAAGAGCAGAGGGGGCTTGGAAGGAATCTCAGAAGTGGTTTTGTGGTGGGGTCTAATCAGAGGTCTGTACGGCAACAAGACCCTCGGGTAGGCGGGAGCTGCAGGGCACCCCATCCCAGACCCCCAGGACCAGGTGATGAACCAGTAGGGCCCCGGAGTGACCTTGAAGCTCTGCATCCCCAACCTGGCTGCTGGCTCTGGGTCTGGGGGCTCCACTGGGATGGATTCCAGAACTACCTGGTGGGCCACCGTATCACTAAACCAAATCTGAGACCAGGAGAGCCTCCTGATTTGCTTATAAAGGCCAGTGTCTGGGCTCTGGCGGACTCTGAAGATAAGGGGCTTGGAAGCTGCATTTCCAAGAAGTAGCCAGGAAACTCTGGTACACCCTTAAATATGACCATTTACTACCTCAGAGAAGAGACATTCTGTGTGAGGTTCTTCAGTTTGAATCCTAAGCCCTCCAATTAATATCTGCTTGGCTTTGAGCAGTTCATTTAATTTGTCTGATTCTCAGTTTCCTTTACCCTAAAACAGAAATAACAGTACCCATGAGTTTGCTGTGAGAATGAAATGTTTCATCGTGTGTGAAGTTTTAGCACGTGCTCAGGACTAATGAACGGTAGCTATGGTCAATAACAGCTGCTTCCCCTGTGCAGGACCGGGGTGGCAGAGACAGGGAAAGGAAACGAGAACCCGCAGTGCCCTAAAACACTGCGCACCTCGTGTGTGTAGTGGGAAGTACAGCCCAGGACACACACCACACCACTGAGTCAAACAGTGTTCCAAACAACTGGCGTGAACAACTCATGCAATCTTTACAGGAGTCCCATCAGAGTGGTGCTACTGTCAGCCCCTTTGTACGTAGGAGAAAACTATGAGGCACAGACAGTGTGAGGAACTTGCACAAGGACCCACAGACCAAAATCTATTGGGGCTGGGATTCAGTCCCAGATGACTTGGCTACCACCCCCATCTCCGCTGCCTCTCTGGATCAGCGGCATACTGGAAGCAGTGAGACTCTCCACCCATGTTTCAGAAAGAACTGATTCAGAAGCTGTAGAATATACAGAAACACAGAAGCATTTTTTAAGTTGATTTAAGCTGTTTGAATACATTATAATTTGCATCACATGTTTTGCATTGCAAAAGAGGCAAGACATGGTACTTGCTTTAAATACACCCATAAGGACCCGCCTACGCAGCTTCTTCCAGTAAAGCCTTTACTTGGACAAGTAGTCGCTGAGAATCAACTGTATAACGTGAACCATTCTAAACAATGTCAGGGGTAAAGATCAAAAGATAGTATCTGACTTTGATAGGAGGGACAAGATGTAAGAGGCACAGGAAAATATGTAGGATTCAAGCTGCAACTGTGGTCCCCAAGCCCCAGCTTGTGGTACCTGTCCTTGGCCTGCTGGGAACCTGGGTGCACAGCAGGAAGTGAATGGTGCCCGCAGGTGAGTGAAGCTTCACCTGTATTTACAGCAACTCCCCACCACCTGCATCACCGCCTGACCTCTGCCTCCCGTCAGATCAGTAGCAGCATTCAATGATCAGATTCTCACAGGAGCATGAACCCCACTGTAAACTTCGCAATGGGGGGATCTAGGTTGTGTGCTTCTTATGAGACTCTAATGGCTGGTGATCTGAGGGAGAGAAATAATGTTCTTGAATCACCCAGAAACCATCCCTCCCACCCCCAGTCCACGGAAAAATTGGAAAAATTGTCTTCCATGAAACCAGTCCCTGGTACCAAAGGTTGGAGACCACTGCCTTGCATATCAGCCTGGTATGATTGGTGCAGAGAAAGCAGCTCTGGTGAACCAGTAATGTCTTCTCAGTTTACACCTTTCCCTGCTATATCCAGTCCACCCCTGTATAGCAGTGACCTCCAAAATTACAGTCCTGGCTGAGACCTCTCATGTGAGCTCTAGACCCCAAGTCCAATGGCTCCTGGACACCTCAAACTCAGCGCCTGCTCCCCAGGGGGCTCCCCACACACCTGGCTGTTCAGAGCAGACCCACAGGTGCCCTTCTCCCATCATGCTTACCCCCAGTCAGCAAGGCTCACTTGCCCTACCTCCCAAGCCTCTCCCTGCCTGCTGCTCCCCTCCACTCCCCAGCCCAAGCCCCTGCTGTTGCACACGGTACTCTGTGTGCTCCTACTGTCTCCCTGGATCAACCCATCCTCCATCCAGGAGCCAGAGGGATACTTTCAGAACGCAGTAGAAGGACCTTCTCGTCCTTCTGTCCTGCTTAAAAGTCTTCAATGCCTTCCATTGCTCTTGGGGTGAAACTTTAAAATCTTAACATGTCCTGCAAGGTCTGAATGGCCCATCCTACACAGTTCCTATTCTATGACATCACTGTCCCCCCATGTCATTGTCCTGGTCCCTGTGTCCTTTCTGCCTTATCCTGTGCTGCACTAACAAAATACTCTAAACTGGGTGGCTTGTAAACAACAGAAACTTATTGCTCACAGTTCTAGAAGCTGGGGAGTCTGAGATCAGGGCAGAGTCAATGTCCAATGAAGGCTTCCTGCTGTCTGGTTCGTAGGTGGCGGGGGAAGGGCGAGGAGCTCTTTGCTAGTCCCTTTCATGGAAGTGGGCAGCACTTTTGTCTAGAGAGCATTTCCTACCCTCAGTTTATCTAATTCTCACTCATTTTCTGGGATCCAGCCTTTATTGACCCTCAGAACACAGGTGAAATTCCATGTCATAAGCACAAGTGAAGAAACCACTCATTGTTTAGCAGGCTGTCTGGTGTCTGCCTCCCCTGCTACAGGATTTCTTCCCTGAGGGCCAGGACCATGCCTTTCTGGTTTTGTCTCTCCCTCAGTAATGAGCCCAGGGCCTTGACCATGGTGTGTGGCTAAATTCTGATTAGTTGAATATACAGAATATTTGAGGGGTCATTGAGGGATGGTGTATCTGTTTCCTATTGCTGCTGTAACAAATTGCCAAAAACTCGGTGCTTTAGACCAGCACAAACATATTCTTGTATAGTTCTGAAAGTCAAAAAGTCCGACATGAGAGGCTTACAAGGTTAAAACCAAGGCATTGGCAGGGATGCTCCCTTGTGGAGGCTTGGAAGAGGAGTCTCCTGGCTTTTTCAGCTCCTGGAGGCCGCCTACATTCCCTGGTGGATGGCACTTGCTTCCATCACACTCGCTTGCTTTTTGTGAACCATCTCCTACTTACTGCTCTCTGCAGTCTTCTGCCTCTCCCATAAGAACCCTCTGATTTCTTTTGGCCCCCTAGATAGTGCTGGCCAATCTTCCCTTCTAAAAGTCCTTAACTTAATCACATCTGCAGAGTCCCTTTTGCCATCATAGGAGGTACTAGTCACACATTCTGAAGATTAGGATGTGGACACCTTTGGTGGGGAGGGCATCATTCAACTGACCACAGATGGATGAAACTGCAAGTGTGCAGAGAAACATGGTCATTTATTCTAACATATGCTACTACTCTCTTTGGTATGGGGGAGGGGGGTGTCATGAGTGCACTTATTTATAATATGAAGGTTTTAAAACATAGAAATTAAAATGGTTCAAACATGTGATATTCAATAAATGAAGGTAAATGTTAATATAGTAGAACCTCTGTAAGTTGACCCCTCAGGGACTATAGCAAACTGGTCAACATATGGAGGTGGTCACCATAAGGAGCTAGACCTCCTGTACTGATATGTATATGTGGCGCATATCTGGTCTATGAAAATTAGGTCAACTTAAGGAGATGGTCAATGGAAGGAGGTTCTACTATATATTCTCAATGTATCCCAATAATAGGGAAATGCAAAAACTCAAGAGAAAAGGGTCATAAATTGACCCATCTTGCTAGACAGTGACTCACACCCCAGTGCGGACTGGTTTTAGCTCACTTGCTCCTCTCCTGCCCAGAAAGTAAATCTGGGTCCCCCTTTTTCCTGTCCTGTCCTATTGTATGTGACTAGCCAATGTCTATCAGATTACAAGATTTGACACTGGGTAAGAGAAAATTCTAGCCCAAGATGAGTAAGGAACTATCATGGAACACTATTTGCATTAAATACATAGTCGTCCCTCAATATCTGTTGGGGAGGGCCGGGCACTCCTAGTGCTAGTGAAATCCTAGCACTCTGGGAAGCTGAGGTGGATTGCTTATGCTCAGAAGTTCCAGACCAGCCTGAGCAAGAACTAGACCCTGTCTTTAAGAATAGCTGGGTGTTGTGGTGGGCATCTGTAGTTCCATCTACTAGGGAGGCACTTGAACCCAAGAGTTTGAGGTTGCTGTGAGGTATGATGCCACAGCACTCTATTGAGGTCAACAAAGTGAGATTCTGTCTCATAAAAAACGTGAGGATTGAAAAAATATCTGTAGGGTAGCCAGGCATTGTGGCAGGTGCCTGCAGTCCCAGCTACTCAGGAGGCTGAGGCAGGAAAATCACCTAAGCCCAAGAGCTGGAGGTTACTGTGAGCTGTGATGCCATGGCACTCTACCGAGGGTAACAAAATAAGACTCTGTGTCAAAAAGAAAAAATATCTGTAAGGAACTTTTTCCAGAACTCCCCACCCACTCCCAGGATACAGTATCTCCGACTGTGCTGGTGGCACAGGCAGAGTGCAGCTGCTTTCCAAACCCCAGACGCTCAAGTCCCTGAGCATCTTAAATGGCATAGTACTTGCATATATCCTCCACACACCCTTCTACACTTTAAATCAATCAGTTCTGGATTACTTAAAATATCTAATGCAGTCAAATGCTGTAAATAGTTGTTATACAATATTTTTTATTTGTGTTATTTTCCTAATATTTTCGATCTGGGGTTGTTTGTATCAGAACCTACCAATGCAGAGGGTCGATTGACTATATGTCCAAGACTTCTGAACCAAATTTTATCCCAAGAAACTTGGGGAATTCATGGCTAAGAGCATTGAACTGAGGAGTAGAAAAGATATCAAAAGCTTGAAATGGGCAAGTGTTCAAAGTCGCAAAACTCAGAGGCTGGGAGGGTCTGTGGAGAACACAAAAAACTCACATAGTGATTCTGGAAGGGACTGTTGAAAAGATGGCTTGTGTGCCCTAAGAATAGGAAGCAGCCACCTACAGGCAGTATTGGTTGGGCAAGAGGTCATAGCAAAAGATTGACCCTTCCTTTGATAGTGTTCCTGTGACAAGGGTGGATTGCCTTAAGGGATTTGAAGAAAGCTTCGTGGTCACATTCTTATGAACAAGATGGAATATTATGAACTAGGGGACAGTAACGTGGGTAGATTTATATCTGTTTATTTCTCTTATACCTAATTTCACAAAGCATGTGAAACAGTGGATGGATGAACACTTGGCTGAATGACTCAAAGGGGCTTATTAACTGGGGGAGCGGGGGGGGGAGCGGTATTAATTTCAACTCTAAGTACAACGTTTCTGGTTCTTTGATCATTTATGATCCCCTGGAAAGTAATGAGAACCTGGGGGCCAGGTTCTAGGGTTGATTGGGAGGGAGCTTGAGACGGAGACATGGAAAAGCAAAATTTGGGAGAAATAAAAAAATTGTCAAG